CCCTCAGTAAATCCATTGCCAGAGGGCCTTTTTTGCAGCTGTAAATTAAAAATATTTTGATTTTTAATTCAGTGCTTGAAGCGACCATTGAGAACAACCATGACGAAAAGAGAAGTCTTTTAGAAAGGTAACAATGCATTTTTCCATTTGCCGATTCTCCCTAGAGGTCCGGTAAGGATCATCTCTTATTGATCTAGTGTTACTACATGTACAGGAGGAAACTTAAACCAAACTAACTTTATTTATACTGGATAGTTCTATCAGTTCTAAACTGTTCTTCCTATAGAGGTCCAGTAAGGATCATCTCTTATTGATCCAGTGTTACTACAGGTGGAAACCTAAACTAAACTAACTTTATTTATACTGGATAGCTCTATCAGTTCTAAACTGTTCTCCCTATAGAGGTCCAGTAAGAGTCATCTCTTATTGATCCAGTGTTACTACAGGAGGAAACCTAAACTAACTAACTTTATTTATACTGGATAGCTCTATCAGTTCTAAACTGTTTTCCCTAGAGGTCCAGTATAAGGATTATCTCTTATTGATCCAGTGTTGCCTCAGGAGGAAACCTAAACTAAACTAACTTTATTTATACTGGATAGCTCTATATCAGTTCTAAACTGTTCTTCCTAAAGGTCCAGTAAGGATCATCTCTTATTGATCCAGTGTTACTACAGAAGGAAGCCCAAACTAAACTAACTTTATTTATACTGGATAGTTCTATCAGTACTAAAATGTTCTTCCTAGAGGTCCAGTAAGAATCATCTCTTATTGATCCAGTGTTACTACAGGAGGAAACCTAAACTAAACTAACTTTATTGATACTGGATAGCTTCTTTTTTCCTTAGATGCATAGCGGCCGAGGACAACTGCAAGAAATATCAGAAAACTATCGAACAATTAAATAAAAATATTGAAGAATTAAATTCGGCCATGATCGAACTTGGACAGGAAAATCAAAATCTGCAAGTTGTTCAAAATGTTCGAAGTAATCGCAAGTGGGAGAAGGATAATGAGGTCATGCAGTGCAATGGCTGTTCAAAGAAGTTCAGTGTTAGCCTTAGGAAGGTAACGTTTCATTATTTTTACTCGTGTATTAAGCGGGCATTACTAAAAGACGAATTATATTACAGCAGAAAGTTTACTCTTTTATAATTATAAAGAACTACTGTTTAAAAGAACGTCAACAAGCCGGACGAAAGTGCAAAGGGGACGGCTATTACTGTCGTTCCAATTGAAGTGTTGCTCAAATATTGATTCAATACATTACCTCGGGCTGACCAATTCATTTCATCAAATTCCTCGAGATATTCATACACTTCCTAGTATAATTGTAAACTTCCTGTTGAATAGTTTGAATGCACCAATCACCTTTGTTGTTTCACAGGGAGCAGAGGAGTCGAGTTTATCTAGTAAAACAAGACAAACACCGTCTTACCTTGTTATTAATTGTAGTATATTTAATTGTAGAAATATCCCAATGTTTGCATTAAAAATGCATATTTATTCATCAAAATTATCGAATATAAACCAAAATATGAATTTCAACGTTAATATACTCCGCTGCCTTGAATTACCGTAGACTTGTATTTTCCGAAAAGCTAACGAACAATGGCCGAGATATCAACGAATAAGAAACGAAGAAAGGGAGGAAACATTGCAGATCTTTCGTCGCATGTGCACCGCAACACCCTATGACGGAAGTGAATAAAACCGGCCATTGACCAATGACGAAGCAGAACTTCATTTGACAGTTGTAATTAGTATTCGAAAAATTTGAATCAATCATGCATAAACACGAAACAATACGTCACTTCCGTCATAGGGTGTTGCGGTGCACATCGTACGAAAATAATCGATGAATATCGGTCGTCAAATATGTAGGTTAAACGACCGTTTATTGAAATTTATTTCCTAATGTAGTAAGAATAGATAATTTCTAGCTTGCATACAAAAAATTATGTATTTTTATGAAATATTAAGCAAGTTATAGCCATCCTAAAGTATCACCCCAATGACTGTTTCCTCCCTTTCTTCGTTTCTTATTGTTTACTAAGTATAGCGAAATGTGAGCCCACAATAATCTAGAACAGCGGAGTATATTCATTTGGTGTTCATGTTACATGAAGTACGAATAAAAAATCATACAAGGCATACAATGTTTATAAATTTTATATGGTTTCACGACAATTTCAACGGCTATAAATTGTAAAATATGCATTTTTAATGCACACATGGGGATTCTACAATGAAAGATATTACAATTAACAAGGTAAGACGGCGTTTGTATTGTTTTACTAGATAAACTCGACTCCTCTGCTCCCTGTGGTTGTTTGCGCAACTAACCAATCATAAATAGAAAGGAAGTGCCCAGAAATGATCAAATACTTGGAATTGGCTCTTTCACAGGAAGTGTATGAATATCTCGAGGAACTTGACGAAATGAATTGGTCAGCCCGAGGTAATGTATTGAATCAATATTTGAGCAACACTTCAATTGGAACGACAGTAATATCATACTAATGCAAGAAAATGAGCAGAAATGAACAATTAAAATCCCACGGGAGTTTTAGTCGTCGCCGTCGCTCTGTTTACAACGGCAAAATACAGATTAGGACAATTATTTTCAAATGGGTCCTAGAACTTTTCTCAATCATTACAGACCTGAAGCTTCGCGTTCAACGACAAACGTCAGGCATAGAAAAATTTTAGGCTATAAAGCAATAAAAAGTAAATGAGCTTGTTGTTTTATAACTAGAATGCTTAACTATTCCTGTGTCATATGAAAGAAAATATGACACGCAGAAATCGAACGAAAATTATGCCAAGAAAATTCGGCCTTGCCGTTCTCGCAAACGTGAAGCTTAAATTCCCTATTAACACCGTGTTAACATCAATCCTTAAACTGTATTATTTTTCATACGATGGATAATAGACGACAAGTTTTCTTCTATAAGTTCTTTGTACGTTTGCATGGCGATAATACATATAATAGTTTTGTTTGTGGAAACACCACGTAAATTTATTACTGCAGTAATAAATTTACGTGGTGTTCCACAAACAAAACTATTATAAGTTTTCTTCTGTAATCATTTGGTTCAACGAGTTTGTTTACCGTCGCCGTTGTGTTTTCGTCGTACGAAGGAATACGTCCAGTAAATTGGGCGTGGCACAAAATTAACTTTCCCAAATCTTAACTCTCCCATATTATTTTTTGATATAACGCTGGATATGTTAATTTATGTTTTCTTCTTTTCAAATTTAGCATCACTGCAGAAATTGTGGGTTAGTAGTCTACAGTTGTATTCTTCTTGTATTCTCATTAAATTCTCAATCATATTGCATTCCCACGGCAGTTTTCTAAGGATTAAATTTTCATCAAAATTTGTTTCGTCGTAGATCAATATTCTGTGCTGAATGTACAGCCAAGACAGCGACCGTTGCAGGAACTAAAAAACCTGCGCGAGTTTGTGAACCATGTTACAAAGAGCTAAACGTTCCTGTTAGGGTGAGTATATACATTGAGAGCTTTCGAAATCATTTTAAAGTGTGACTTACCCTAAATGTAATTTTTGAAAAACTTTGGGCCTCCTGGGGAACGTCTGCCCCGGGTCCCCGCGCAAAACGTCTGCGAATTCAGACGTCATTTCCGACGCTCATTCTTCGCAAAGACGTCCGCGCTCGCAGATTACCGCGCAACAGACATTAGGATTTGTTGGCCTGGCATATCGTCAAGAGTAATATTTTTCAATGATTGTTTTTCTTCTTTTTTAGTCATATTCACTTAATTCAACGAATTCTTCATGATACACGCCATCAATGTAGAGAATATTTATTAATTCTTGCGTCCAGCGCTACCGTAGACTTTCGTCAAGTCGTTCGTCTTTGTTTTGAAACAACAAAAACGAAGGACTGTGCTTCGACGCTCGATCAAACTTTGAGGCCTATCTGGGGCAAGTCCGACTGTGCGATCGCGTGATGTGTTGTGGCGCGTGTATGAAGTGCGATGTTGATCTATCTCGCCATTTCTCACCAGCTTCGCCTTGAAATGCAGTCTGAAGTGAAGAATGCAGGTTGACCCATTTTAGATGCGCTGTGGAAACTTGGATGTGCCGTATTTTTACCATCGTACAAAAACAGAAGCCTTATAAGTACATATGACACGACATTTTCTTGACTGAAAGAACTCTTTAAGCTGCAGTGTAACTTATTTTTCAGTTTCTTGTTTTTATGGTTTGTTCTTGAGATATTTCAATTTGTTTGATATGTAAATGAGTGTAAATATGTCCGCTAATTTATGATGTCACTTTGGCTGCAAGCTCAACTTGCACTGCCGGTTATAAATCTATCAACTCTAAAAACTGTAGATATCAGTTCACGTTTTTCTCCAGTGTTGAATCACATTTACCAGTGAGTGTAGTTTGAAATTATCATCTTGGATGATAGCAGTGATATTCAACCATTTTGAAAAGCTTGCAACCAAAGTGACGTCATAAATTAGCGGACATATTTACACTCATTTACATATCAAACAAATTGAAATATCTCGGGAACAAACCATAAAAACAAAAAACTGAAAAAGAAGTTACACTACAGTTTAAAGAGTTCTTTCATTTAATAAGAAAATAAGAAATTTCATGTCATATGCACTTTAATTAATTAAACATGTATATCAAACTCGAACAATTTTACAGTAGAATGAATTGTAATTAGAAATAATTTATGTTTTCCACATTTTTACATACGTCCACTATAAACATAGATAATGAGTTATATTGATGGTTATTCTACTGAGTTTCCAAACCAACACGAGTAGATCATGTTGACAAGCTGTGAGGTTTGTGTTGTTGTCTCTGAGTCAAGCTGAAAAGTTTGCTGGACGCAATGACCGCGCGGAGGGAACTTTAGATTTGACTACGGCTATGAGATCTAGTACGACTACGAGATTTTCCCGTTAAATTTCTGTTACTTAAGACTTGCTATCGTCCTCTCTTTGGCATAGCACTTCTTTAAAACAACACTTGAACCAAACTACGTGCAGTTTTAACCTTTTTGGAGCAGATATTGAACGGAAAATTCTCGTAGTCGTACTAGATCTCGTAGCCGTAGTCAAATCTAAAGCTCCCTAATATTTCCACCCATATATGACTGAATTTCGTGCGTTTTCTGAAATAGATTTTTAGATATACAGCCTTACATTATACTGTAGATTATGTTTATGTAAATACCACAACTCGATCTCTAACTTGTTTAACCTAGCCTTCCAACAACTCAACTCTGTAGGGGCTGGAATAGGGGCTATCGCAATGTTTAGCATTTTTGAAAAGACATTGAATCATTTGAAGATAAAAAATATGACATAAGATTCACAAAGCGAATTTCAGTTACTAGAATATCAAACCTCCCTTCTGAATTCCATTTTCTAACAATGTTTTGGAGAAAAGCCTGAAAAGGATTTTGTTTGGGGGGGGGGGGCAAGTTAGTTGAGTCACCATGGGGGCTAGAGGGGCTTTGCCCTCACCCCCCGCCCCCAGTCATATAGTTAAAAAAGGCCCTGTCGCCTTAGACTGTCGCCTAGAAAGGCCTGAGTTTCGAAATATCACGCATTCGAACCGACTTGACCTCGTAGCTCAGTTGGTCGAGTATTGGACTAGGTCGCTGGTTCGATTCCCACCGTGGTAAAGCAAACTTTGCAACCTCGTACCCATTTTACCTCTGGGTTGCCACTAGGTTAGCACTATTTTCCATCCAGCAAACTGACCTGACGTCATTTTCGGAAGATGGAAGAAGGGCTATGTAACTAACCCAAACCTTACCCCTACTCTAACCCTAACCGCGACCCTAACCCTAACCAAATTAATAAAAAAAATGCACGGCACTGACGACTTTGCACATCACAAACATGTGCATTGTTAGATGCAAGAGACGGTGCAATAGGAAATTTTTCGCGGCGAGGAAGGAAAATATTTTATCCCAAGTGGAAGATCCCGGATGCTTGCAATGCATCATGGTAATGTGTTTTGGAGAAGAACTTCGAATTTACTTTTGAAATTGAGTTGAGAAATTTCAGGAAAAAATAGTTTTAAAATGAGTGGCGGGCTACCTAGGAGAATTGTTAAGGTAAGAATACAATAAATAAACTCTCGAATATCTGTAGTTTAAATCTGGTGAAGCACAGGGCTTTTGTGTTAATGTAACGCCGTGTTTTGTTTGTTTGAACTGCAGGAAACACAGAGACTGCTTGCGGAACCTGTCCCAGGGATAAAAGCAACACCTCACGAAGAGAACGCTCGGTATTTTGATGTTTTTGTCGATGGCCCCAAAGAGGTTGGTCTAATGTTTGTGTATGCGTGATGCAAGGTCCGGAAGTGTTAAAAGTTCACAGCAGATATGATATTAAACGATGCTATCAATGGATTTAATTGTCTAAAGTTTATTTTGTGGATTCGTGCCGTCATTTTCATCCAGTGTGAACAGTTACAGACAAAAATATTGTAGTGAAATTTTCATGTTTGTCAAAAGCAGTTGACAGGTTATAGAGGGGGGGGGGAGGTGTGTATATGAGCTGGGGCTGGCCCGAACTGCCCTGTAGAGATGTCCATTTAGGGTGGGTATGCATGCCGCTCGTCCAATTTTCAAAATAAGTAGTCACTGCATCCAAACGCTGCTATGTCACTTTCAGAATTTTGTTTTCCATGTCGCTGTCGTAATTTAGACAGAGTTTTTGTGTCCATTGTCGCTATTTTCATATAGCCATTTCAAGGCAATGTCAACTGTTGGAATTTAGCCTAACAGGCCTCGGTAAACCAGGCTGGCTTGAATCTTTGATAGGTCAGTTTAGCATTTTTGCTTCATGTGAACGAGGCAAGCTAGCCGACAGGCAAGAAATTCTTGCACGATTTTAAACAAATGCATTAAAATTGTTTTGACAATTTTTCCTTGCCAAAGAGCCTTGTTTCAAAGCTAGTCTCACGCCAGCTTTTGGAGAAGGAAGATTTGTTCGTGTGTATGGCGGCCAACGGAAACTCGACAAGTGTACAAGAAATATTTCTATGGTTTTGGCAAACAAACGTGAGATAATTGTTTGACAACATTCTGTGCCATGGGGGGTAACCCCCCCCTATAATCTCTCTAATCCCTCTTATAAAGTGTTCAACCCCACCAAAATTTTGCTTCGCTCCTCCTATTTTGTGTGAAAGTCTTTAACCCTAACGCCTACCCCCTGCCAAACCAGGGTGCATTCCATGTAAACTCTACGCCGGAGATACGCCAACATGTACGATCATTTACGCCAATACATCCGAGATTTTCAATTTTGGGGACTTAAATCCATGTTTTGATTTCAAATAGGTAATATGGTGATTCGTGTAGTTATACTGTCAATTTACATGTGGCCATGAAATCAAAATGAAAATCCGCCCTTGTTCTGTGCACACCAGCGACAAAATTTGTCAAGAAAAACGTGCTTGTCTGTAAAAAACCTGTTTGTTTTATAATTAAATGTATTTGTTTTTAGTCTCCGTTTGAAAAAGGCTGCTTTAAACTGGAGTTGTTTTTACCTGAAGAGTATCCGATGTCACCTCCGAAAGTCCGCTTTAATACGAAGATTTATCATCCAAATATCGATAAACTTGGTCGCATTTGTTTAGATATTTTAAAAGGTAATTGTACAGTATGTAAGGTAGATAGAGCTGCTCCCGATTAATCGATTATTTTTCCACAATCGATTATGAAACAGTAATCAGATCATCTATAACTTACACCACACAACGTGATGCGGGAATGGCTTACAGTAATTTCTTTCTGGATTTAAAAAATTGTGACAAGATTGTGATTGAAATATTAAACGACAAATTGATTCAAAACATTGTGGGTAATATCAATTTAATTCGCAGAGAGGAGATAGATTTCAAAATGAATCCAAATTTTCTGTTGGCTGTACGTTCTCTGAAAGAAAATTTTCACTTTAGATAAATGGAGTCCAGCTCTTCAAATTCGTACGGTGCTACTTTCAATACAAGCTTTATTAAGTGCACCTAATCCTGACGATCCATTAGCCAATGACGTTGCAGAATTATGGAAAACAAATGAGGCCAAGGCAATTGAAACTGGTAAGTATGGCCCGTGGTATGGTACTGTCTTACATTTCTGACACTGTATTTTTATTTTCACGAAGTTATGTTCATGCATAAATTATACTATAATAGCTAATTATGCATTCAGTTTAATTTCTACTCTGCCCCAAAGCGAGACAAACTTTTGCTAATTTCTTATCTGATTTTCATTTCGGGTTTCCCAGCGCTACCTAGCTTTTGGCTACAGAATTAGCTCGGCCTACAAATAATTATTTTACTGGGAAGGACAAATGTCTGGCCAAGCCAAAAATTGGTCGGACATTTCCCAAACAATGGACAAAGTAAAATTTTTCATATTTTGTTTTGAGAATTAGCACGATGTATTTTTTTGCCTGGTCATGTTAGTCCGCAGTGCAATACATCTAAAACTTAGTTTATATCTACCAGTCCTCATGCGTCAGTAAATTATGGTTCAAGTTATACATAACTTTAATTTCATATACGGAGGTGATGTAGATTTAGAATTAAATTTTACGGCTTAATGCAGCGAGAAATAGTTTGGTTTGGTTTCATTAATAAAAAATGTGTTAAATAAACAAAGTTTTTGAGATTGGAGATTTGACCAGCCTAAGTCGGTCGGTCACATGTCCGGTCATAAAAAACTTTGATCAGACAAAAGGTAAAATTTGGCCAGACAATGTCCGATGACCAGCACTAATTTGCAGGGGCCGGTTGTATAAAAAAGTGATTAAAGTTAACTATGATTAAGTGGAAACGTCATCTGATAAGAAGCACGTATTTGAAAATTAATCACTATTTAACTACGAAATAGTGATTAAAAAGTGATTAAGGGCCTGTTCATATGATCCCGCTTACCGGGACGTCTCGCTTACCGATGATCTCGCCGCCTATCTATTTTCCTATAAAATTTTGCATTGTGTTCATATGGGAAAGCGAGCTGGCCCGCTTGCCGAGATCTTGTTTGAATTTGCCGAGATCATAGGTAGGCGGGATGAAAATTTTTCCATATGAACACGCCAGCCCGCTTACCGGGATGAAGTGAAACAAGTCTTGCCGGTTTAATTTAACACTTTTTACTTGGTTTTATGTTTGTTTTGTAAACAAGTATTAAATAACCACCTGAAGCAGTACTTTTTCTTGTAAATAAACGAAGAAAAACACTAAAATCGCCAAGTATTTGTGTTGCTTGACTGAAATGTAGAAGTTTTGCATACGCTAATTATAGAACTACAATGTAATTTCATCTCGGCAAGTGGGACGAAATACTCCATATGAACACACGGAAATATTCGTCTCGGTAAGCGAGACGTCCCGGTAAGCGGGATCATATGAACAGGCCCTAAGAGTTTTATACAACCGGCCCCAGGCTTGATTGGCTACTGACTATTTTGAAAGCCCTACCTCGCCTGATTACATACACCTCAACAATCAATATATAAAGTTCCTCAGATATTTCTCAATCATTTGCTTTATTTCAGCTCGACAATGGACTCACATGTATGCTGTGAATAAAAGCTGATGCTATATGACAGAATGTAGAATATGAACCAAAGATTTGTAGTAACTCTATTGTGATAATATAATCTAGGATCACAGCAGAAATGCACGTCATTTTTGCTGAAAAACACTGTTATTATCGCCCTGTAAAAATTCACACTGGGTTTTGTGACACTACCAGAAATTTTCGACACGATTGGTCCCACTCTTTGAATCCATTAACTCTTTGTTTTGACATGGTGCTGTGATTTTTGTCATAATTTATATAAGGCAGAAACGAAATTGTAAAAATTCTCACACTCCGTTCCCTTCAAGAAAAATTCATAACTTCATAGCGAGAGGGTGGTAAATGATAAACTAAGCTTGTATGCGTTTCTACAATTTCTGCGCTATGTAAATTAAATAGTAAAATCCTGGCGCCATATTGAATTAAGGAGCTAATTTATTCTGAAATTCTGGGCCATTTTGCCTAAAATGTCTGGTAATGATCAACTTGCAAAGTTAACTTGGACATTTTGTGATTTGATGCTCAAAGTCCTTTTCTAAAACATAACCAAACGTAGTGACGAAGCTATAAGCATCAACTGCATGGTTTCTTAATATTTACATCATTCAAACACGTAGAAATGTTTTTAAGTTTATTCGTTCATAGCAACCAGGTTCTTCAGAAATATTTTGACTCTCCTCTCTGGTTTAGGTCAATGAAATAAAAAGCCCGGTCGTATTGGATTCACGACATCGCCCAAATAGTTGCAAAAATAATTGAATGTCTCTCTTGACCATAGTCGTCATGATATATGATGTTCTGGAAATTGAATTCCTTGTGTTACGTATTTGTCTGAGTTCAATATGTGACAGTTGCTTATTTCTTGACTTGGTGAATGAACTTGTTCATTGTTCAACTACTTCAACACCACTACAGTCAGTTTGTTTCGTCTTTTAGCTCAACTGGCCAATCTCTACTGTACTATAGTGAGGTCATACTTGCCAAAATCGTAGCGCAAGCACTCATCTCTCGAGTTTAGAATGAGTTGTGTTGCAACGTCAGGTCATGAATGCCATTCGACCTGACATAGTATTCATTTACCTAAAACCAGAGTAGCGAGCGAAAATATGGCTGTAGAAATGAACTTTCTTTAGACTATTGCCACTAACCCCAAATATGAGTTTTGGTACGTGTGATAACAAGCTTGGAACAAGTTGTTAACAACTTGTAACAACTTTGTTGATATTATCAGGCTTGGTGCAAGGTTGTTCCAACAAGTCTGATACCGTCATGATATAACAATATTGTCACACCCTTGTGTCGTCAACCTTGTGAAATTCTTGTTATATCATTATTGTATCAGACTTGCTAGAACAACCTTGTGACAAGTCTGACAATGCCATCAAACTTGTTACAAGTTGTCAACAGCTTGTTTCAAACTTGTTACAACAACTGGGAACAAGCAGTGCGAACACAACTTGTTGAGAGTTTGTGAACAGATTTGTAACAACTTGTTATATCATGACTGTATTAGACTTGTTAGAACAACCTTGTAACAAGTCTGACAATGCCATCAAACTTGTTACAAGTTGTTAACAATTTGTTCCAAACTTGTTACAACAACTGGGAACAAGCAGTGCGAACACAACTTGTCGACAGCTTGTGAACAGATTTGTAACAACTTGTTTGCAGACCTGGAACAACTTGTGCGTTTTTACGTGAGTACACACACCAAAAGTCGTATTTGGGATTAGTGTCACATGAATATAGCATGACCATGCAGTTGTGATAGCTTCATCACTGACACAAAAATGTAACTTGTGGAAATCAAATTTTGTACCTTTATTCATGCACATAAAGGATATGTTTACATTCTAGCAAAATTTCTCGTACATTTTTAAGCCTGATCTATTTGAGTCAGTGGATTTATATACAATACTACAGGCGTAAAAATCTAACAGCTTGTAAACAAAATGTGTTCGCACTGCTTGTTCCCAGTTGTTGACAAGTCTGGGACAAATTGTTATCATCTTGTAACAAGGTTGATGAGGCCAACAGACTCGCAACAAGTTGTTCCAACAAGCCTGTTATCGTCTGCACGTAACAAGTTGTGTTCGCACTGCTTGTTCCCAGTTGTTGACAAGTCTGGAACAAATTGTTATCATCACATTGTAACAAGGTTGATGAGGCCAACAGACTCGCAACAAGTTGTTCCAACAAGCCTGTTATCGTCTGCACGAACAAGTTGTGTTCGCACTGCTTGTTCCCAGTTGTTGACAAGTCTGGAACAAATTGTTATCATCTTGTAACAAGGTTGATGAGGCCAACAGACTCGCAACAAGTTGTTCCAACAAGCCTGTTATCGTCTGCACGAACAAGTTGTGTTCGTAATGCTTGTTCCCAGTTGTTGACAAGTCTGGAACAAGTTGTTATCATCACATTGTAATAAGGTTGATGAGGCCAACAGACTCGCAACAAGTTGTTCCAACAAGCCTGTTATCGTCTGCACGAACAAGTTGTGTTCGTACTGCTTGTTCCCAGTTGTTGACAAGTCTGGGACAAATTGTTATCATCACATTGTAACAAGGTTGATGAGGCCAACAGACTTGCAACAAGTTGTTCCAACAAGTCTGATATGGTTGATGACAAATCTGATATGGTTGATGACAAGAAGCTCGTAACAACTTGTTACGAACAGCCTGTATTAGTCTTGTTGGAAGAACTTGTAGCAAGTCTGTTACCGTCATCAACCTTGTAACAAGGTGATAACAACTTGTTCCAGACTTGTCACAACAACTGGGAACAAGCAGTGCGAACA